TGCTCTCCAGCAGCTTGTCGCCAGAATGACACTCACTAACTGTGTCCAAGACTGGACACGGGCCTGGCTATATACCACTTGTCCAAGTGGAGATGCCTCCAGCTGGGGCCATCTGATCTAAGAGACAATCGATGGTCCTAGATGCAGGCTCCAATCCTGGTCCAGTCATCTGGGCCTAACACGGTCAGCCTGGGTCCCTACCAGATGTTCAGGCGGCCCTGCCCATGCAGCAGGCCAAGTCCAGAAGTGGATGAGGGCTGGCCCAGTCACCACTGGGCAAAATCTGGTCCAGTGCAGAAGTGGGCAAAAGTCTCCCGGAACCCTCCTTCGCTGCATAATCTGTGTGCAGCGAGCTCCTCCTACCCTCCATCACCTTCCACATTGCCCTCCTACTCCTGCTCCATCGCCCACCTCCTCCCCTTCTTCTCCTGCTCTTCTTCTCCTCCCTCATCGCCGCCCTCCTCCTTCGTTGTCATCGTCAAAGGTCTTCCCCCCCTCCTTCTCCTCCTATTTCCCTCCCTTTCCTCCTCCTCTCCTCCTCTTCCATCTCTTCGCCGTCGTGGAACCCTCCATCTCCTCCTCTCCCCTCATCCTTCCGCCTCACCAGTTCCACGTGGCACCGTCCTTTCTCCTCCTCCATCTCCCCCTTCCTTGTTATCGGTGTTATCCGACTCCCCATCCATCTCATGCTCTCCCCCCCCTTTCCCCCTCTTCCACATGCAGGCCACGTGAAATGGGCTTGAATAATTTCTTTTTTCTTTTTTCTTTCTTTGCTTCGTGAACTTCCCTCTCCCTTCCCTTTCCTTCTCCATCTCCCCGTCCTCCTCTATCTTCCCGTCCTCCTTCGTCTCCATTGCCCTCCTCCATCTCCTCCTTTCTCCTCCATCCACTATTCCCCAATGCTTCCTTCGTACGGGAGAGAGAGAGAGAGAGAGAGAACTGCTGCCACGTCAGCATCTCCAGGCTGCAGTGCACAGACGTGCCACATCAGCACGGTGGTGACAGGCCAGATCAGCACCGGCAGCGACACCGGCAACGGACCACGTCAGCACGGGCAATGACACCTGCAACCTGCCATGTCATGCAAGAAGGATGAACAGTCACCCAAATCAATCAGGGGACTACTTGGAAGTGTTTAAATGCCATACCACCCCCGCAAATTAGCTATTTCAAGCTGATTTTGGAAGTACGGGCATCATACACACTACCGAAGAGCCCGACACCAGAAAAAACACAAACATAAAAATGAAAATAAAAATTTGTATGGCACCCCAGTTCCCTAGCATGTAAGTATGAAATTGTACGGCTGTACGGGTACGGGGAGCCGTACGAATCGCAACGCAGTTACTTTGGAAGAGCCCTTGTCGTTGCCTGCCCACAGAGAGGGAATAATGACTGTGGAAACCCAAGAAACTTGCTCGATGCCGCTCTGTGATGGCCCCCTGAGATTGGGCTAGCATGTGATTTGCATGTTTTGTGTCGTGAGGATCAGCAGTTAGTATAGTGAACCCTCTGAAGTTTGTCTCTCCTCTGTTCCGTTCGTTGCCCCTCCACTTCCCTCCTCCTCCCCTTCTCCCTCCCTCACCCCTCCCTTCCTATAGAACTCCACCCCCTACGCCTTTCCTTCCTCCCTCCTCTTGTGTACGGCTAGTAAATGCGTACAAATGAGCATCATTTGGAGAACAGACAACAGACAAAATATAAGCTGAAGATCTGAGGAAAAATGAACAGGAATGTACCTCCCCTTTCTGCCTCCTTTCATAGCATGCGAGTGGGCTGTTATAGCACACGGGGATCTCTTTTCAAGCCACCAGGCTGTGCCGATTTGCATAAAGGACCTGTCTGGCCATCTGATCAAATCTGGGCCACCCATCCAGCCATGTGGGCCCAGAGTGCTGTGAAACATTCACCAAGTATGGGCAGAACCAAAGATCAACCAATATAGGATGAACATGTATGCAGCGGAAGTCTGAGAAATGGACTGACTCACATAGACTGAACTCACCCAAACATCACTCAACACACAAGCAATCGTGAGATTGAAGGGTCTGAAGCTGTACATAGACGATGCTTCAGGCCCCGTACAACCATACACAGATGAATGGTGGGAGGAGAGACGATGGAGGTGGGAGATATGGACAGCGCCAGATGGCACCGAGATAGAATCCAGAAGGGTTGGAACCCCTCGCTGCGAGGGTTACACAGGGTGGGTGGTGTGATCTTTGAGAGGGAGGGGGAGTGTTGAGGGTTTGTCCTTTTCTGGGCCATGCTGATTTTTGGGTCGGATCGGCTATGGCGGTTGGGGAGAGAGGACAAGGGGTGCTGATATCAGCATGGTGAGATGTTGTAGGGCTGTTTCACTTGGAGGGGGTGGGGCAGGAGGGAAGGGGGATCTTTGGCATTGCGGGGCATACTTTAGGGGGTAGTGTATGCAGCTGAGGGAGCAGGAGTGACTTTTAGGGGGCTGTTCTGAACTGGGGCTGGGAGGTGAGGGGGTGCTTCCCCACGGAGGCAGTATCAGACAGGGGGTCGTTTTTGAGGGAGAGGAGTAATCCATTTTGGTTCTTGTGAGCCTGGTACATGCAATCGAGATTAGACTAGGCGCTGAGTTTCCATGGGGAGAGAGGGTGTTTTTTTCCCTCCCTTTAGGCGCTGAAACGTGTATGGGGTTTTCTCAATCTTCTGATTTTTCAATATGTTCTTGAGAGAGGTGAGTGGGAGAAGTAGATGGTGGGATGTCAGGCGTCCTACTAGCGAGGGGGCTAGCTCGTAGGATGGAAATAGGGTACAGCAGCAGCGGAGATGGTGGCTCTGCTGCAGTAAGTCTTGCCGGATTGAGGTAAAGAGGATTGTTGGGGGGGGTCTGAGTTGTTTGTCCTTAGCTGAAACCAGGTAATGCCCTGGTATCTCAAAAGAGGAGGGAAAGGGGGGGATCTAGAACTGGAGGATGGAAGGTAGTAAGGGGGCTCTCAACAGAGGAAGGTTGCTTGTTAAGGTAAGTAGGTTAGAAGGACTATGTTGGAACGAGGGTGCTGGATCTTTTGCTCTGTGACCTAGGGGGAGCTTGAGGCCTGTGGAGTTATGCCGAGGGTGGAAGGCATAACCAGACCGTTCGACGTAGCCGACGCCGGGGTATTAACCCTGTAACCTGTTCAGGGGCTTGCCGCTAAGGGAAATGTCGAGGGAGGAAGGCACTTCCTGTCGGTCAGAACTAGGTTGGTCAGTACTGGGGAATGTTGTGGTGCCCTGTTACCCTAGCAGAAGGGGGTATGAGATCAAGTGAGTTCCGATACGAGGACTGAAAGCCTGGACCGACCTTCCATCTGTTGAGGGGGGGGAGTTTTGGATAGTAGACAGTTTTAGTTTTGACCCCCCGCTCTCATAATTTTTCCAAGCCTTTTCAGATTTTTTCTGAATTTTAGCCTATCTCATGAGGAAAGTCTTGAGAATGCCTTAGGACTCCGGGCACCTCTTGCAACTCATTTTAGTTTTTTTTAATGTTGTTATATTCATGGATCTGCGGCTTTTCGATGCCAGAACGACCCTGGCCAGAGCTGGGGGGTTGCCCTGTAACCTGTTGATAACAGGAGCGTGAGGCGTGGTAGAGAGATCTGGCGATGCCTTGGGCCGGGCATTCCAAGGAAAACCAAAGGTTGCTGTCGGTACGATGCTGGCCGGAGCTGGGGTAAGTTGTGTTGCCCTGTAACCTACCAGGATGGGGGCATGAGGCCTGGGAAAGCTCGGCAGGGAATAAGGCAGTGTTAGAGAATTTTAGAATGTTTTGTTGGGGATTCCAGGGGTTCTGAGGGCTTCTGTGGCTTTCCGTTTTGACTTAGTAAGTGCTGCTTGAGTAGCCTAGCAATAGGTTAGCAGTTATCCATGTTTTTCCTAAATTTTCTAGAATCTTTTTCATAGTTCTCAGATTGTTCTTAGCCTAAGCCAGGTAATGGCCCTGGCATTTCAAATCATTTGTATAATTCTATATGGGACGCTGGACCCGGTTCCCAGCACGTGTTGCTCCCCACGAATGGACTGGAGCATTTGTCCCAAAAAAAAAAGTGAAAAAAAAAAACACAGAAGGTCACCGATATGGTAGCTCAAATGTCATCGAACAAAATCAGAATGTCGGGGACATAAGTCACCAATGTCGGAGGTACAGAATCCTAATGCAACCGATGTTCGATCTGTGATGCCGCCAGGTATCAATCCCAACTATCTCCAATGTCTCGAATCCGGTAAGTATCACATCCTCCTACCACCGAAGTCCAATCACTGATCTCTGTCCAACTCGTATCAAAAGTCTCCAGTCTGAAGAAGAAGAAGAAGAAGAAGAAGTCTGAAGAAGAAGAAGAAGAAGAAGAAGTCTGAAGGAGAAGAAGAAGAGAGGGGCAGAGCATTGGCGGAGATGGCGAGTAGCTCCAGTGTCCTCCGAACTCCCCGAAATGGCCGTTGGCTGGGCCTAAATACTGGCCGGCGGCCAGTTCGGCCTCTGCCTCCCAAGGTGGCCTCCGATCTGAACCGTCGGATCTATCGTCCGATCCGTGGTTCAAGTCGGACCGGTTTTCGGGAAGCAGGCTGCCTAAACGGCGGCCTGGTCCAAACGAAAACGTTTGGCCATTTCCCGCCCACGGCCTGCAGCTGCAGGGCCTGGTCTAGAACCGGTTGCGTAAGGCCAACGGAGCGGCCTAAAAAGGTCCGGCCTTTGGGCCGGCCTGGCCTGGATTATCACGTCCAGGCCCTCGGAACCCCTCAGCCTAGTCCTCGGGCCTGAAAGGGCCCGTGTGGAATGCAGTATGTAACAGTAACTTTGATTCCAATCAATCCTTCAAAGTCCAAAGGGTCAACATCACTCATTGCTGCAAAATTGGAAATGAAAGATCTGTTTTTTGTCCAAGAATGGAAGCGGGTTTAGTACCCGGTTCACTCTTTTGGGCTCTCCATTCCTCTTCAGAAATGAACGGGTTCATTTCTTCACCTTAAGCCACCAAAATGCGGACAATTCCCACAGAGAACCCAAAAAAAGAAATGTGACCTGTGGCCATCAGATTGTCAATCCAACGGTTCAACTGCAAACGGGCGGACTTCTCTTAACAAGGGAGTTGTAAAAGGTACGTGGGGTGGTTTAAATTTTTAGCTCTATTGCTGGGGCTTGTGTGGTCTGTGATGCAGGTGACAAAACTGCTGTGGCAAATGTTGATCAGCCTATATGTGCGTCAACGCCTTCAAGTATGGTGTATTGTGTCAAGTTTTCTTCTGATCATGTCAGAATCAGTCAGATGTAATGCCTGATAACGTTTTTGTAAAATCTTGTTTGTTTTTTAATATATGATGATGATGATGATGATGATGATGTCACTCATATTGTGCACCCTGAGAAGTTTCCTCTCATTGTTTCATTTCCTTGGATTTCTGTGACAGATGTGCCAGCACGTGGATGCTTATGGTCTTTTCCGTTTTGAACGGCCGGGACTCTATTCTTACTACTTCAGCAACATCACTGCGCTGAGAAGAGAAAATCTCGTCAAGGCAGAACTTGAAACATTGATGTCATTGCATGAGGAAGGTGCTCTCACTGTATGGAGCTGCATACAAGGTAGTTGGATTATTACCTGTCACTCAGAACCCCATTCTATAACCACACTGCATCCTGTTGTCTATGTAATGACCTGCAAAATCACAGACTGAGAACAGTGCTGATTTCTGAGTTTTGCCGCTGGAATGTATGCCTTGCTGAGATTCCGGCATTGTGCTGAGTTTGCTAAGTCTGTGTGTGTGTGTGTGCGTGCTTGCTGGTCTGAGTGCACGTCTGCCTGAGTGTGTTTGTGGCCCACCAGGGCACTTGTGTGTTTGAGAGGCCCGCGGGGCCGGTACTTACCTGTGGCCATGACTTTGAGGGTTGCTGCGGGGAAAACACTCAAATGGGCGGAGGGATAGCTTAGGGTCACTCAAGTAACGGGTAGGCTAGGCCAGTAGCACTTAAGTAGCTGTAGGCGTACCAGAAGAAGACAAAAAGTTAGGATTTTTAGAGGCCGAGGAACCAGGAGGCCTAGGTAGGCGGGTACCAGTCCAGGTACCCTGAGTCTAGGGCCTGTGAAGACGATGTCAGACCTGGAATGATGGGGAACCGGTTGCTTGGCAGGCTGAGCGGCCAGAAAGTCACCCCCCAAGAGGCAAGTTGCGTTGATGTATGAGACCTTTTCTAGATAATGCTTTTCGTGATGACTTCGCGGGACTTTTTCGTCGGGATGCGGGGCACAGTGTTTGCGATCATGAACTTGGTTTCGACATCAGCAACAGTCAAGTGTCTTGCAGTACTTTCGTTAACAGTTCGGTTTGGATGTGATGAGACGTACTCGGGCACTGGCTTAACACTGCTCTTACTCTGCTAATGCCGTGACTTCGGTTGAAGGTGTGGTGGTTTGGTTCTGGCAGTCAGGATTTGGAGATACTACGATAATCATGGCTCTGCCTGAGGTCCGTAGGTGCCGATTTATGTTTCTTCTACAGCACAACACCTGTCAAAGATGGCATCTTTCTAGTTTTTATAGGACTACTTTGTTACCTCTCCAGCAGCGGCAGTATTTGGCATGCTTATTCCTGTCTGACGGCCTCCAGGTACTGTTCTGGGGAGACTTCGTTCATTGTATTGGGCCGTGCATATTTTTGAAGGTTTCGTACTTGGTTCGATATTTCAGAAGTTCGCGTTCTGGGAAGTCTCCTATCATATCTGGGATACACAGGACCAGCATAGTTCGCCAAACAGGGAATGTCGTGCTTCGGCAACAGCGACGGTGCCATTGGCTTGAAGGATCATGTGCAGCGACCAGGGCCCAAGCGGTGGGCCCATGACTAGGCTTGGGATCAGCCTAAAGCTCCCTCATTCCTATACCAGGTCCGTAGCTTCGGTTCCGATCATGTCAGACATTTCGAGAGGACGACAAGGCCGTGTGTTCCTTGACCCAAGCTGGGCCCTGGGGTATACAGGCACGACAGGCAGTTACATGGGGACAGTTTGTGTCTGATCAAGGCGTCCACCGTCCTCTCTGCTGCGTCCAAGGCGTTCACCACCCACACCACGTGTTCGCGACTTTCTCGGCCTGCGTTGTCGATCTCCGGTCAAACGTTAAGCTCCCGGGCATACTTGTGACAATAGCTATGGCGAGGTGCAGGGCATGAGTTCTATAGAAGGTGCGTGCGGGCGAATGCTCGTCTCATTCTGTGGGTTGTAAGCGCGGGCACGGTGGGGGATGATTGCTATGTGGGAGTGAGAGTGCGCTGGCGCACAGAGAAAGGCCGCGGTGGAAGTGAAATTCATGCAGTCTACTTGAATTTAGTCTACTTGAGCGGAAGTGCGTCGTCGTGCGGGTGAGTGAAGCTTGGTTTCGCGCATGATTCTGCTCGACACGGCTTACTTGTGCGCGAATGATCGCCATGAAGGTCAGAGCTTGAGACTTGTGGGGGAACAATCGCATCTGGCCGCTCAAACGAGCCAGGCTACGCTTGTCCTTGCATCAACCGTTCAGCGAATGAGAGTGCAGAGACCACGATTGTCGCAAACCCAGACGTTGTAGAGAGTTCGATAGCCAGAGCAGCGGTGATCATAATTGCATGTGACAGGGCCCAAGCTGGACCAGTCATGGGCTCGAGCTGATCCCGAGCCTAGTCATGGGCTCGAGCTGATCCCGAGCCTAGTCATGGGCCCACCGCTTGGGCCCTGGTTGCTGGACATGATCCTTCAAGCCAATGTCCGACATGGTTTTTTTTTTTTTTGCTCAACAGAATGCAAGAAAAATTTAGAGGTAGGAGTGTCAGAAAGATGGGTAATGCAAACAGATGCAAAGGCCGTAAGACAAATGGAATGAAGCAAAACGAAGTAGCAAACATGTGAATGAGAAGAATAGAAGAGGGCAGGAGAAGGAAAAGAAACAAAGCAAAGCCATGGAGATACGCTTTACGCACGAAAACAGGCACTTTTAAATATTCAAAGAAGCACAAAAAACTGTGCCATGCTGGCAAGTCCCTACCCATTTCATCCGCCGGCCAGAAGCGGAATCGTCAAGGGACAATGAAGTGCGTGGTCACCAAGCAGAGAAGTTCTCATATATATACTGGAAGCCATGAGTACGAGTAGGCCGTACACACACTCCGACAGTGGGAATCCAGCAAACACGCAGAACAGCGGCAAAAGCTCAGAAAAGCACAGGTGTCACAGTTTGCAATTTTGCAGGTTATTAGTTTTGCTTCGATGATGGGGTGCACTCTGAGAGATGATGGCATGCAGTCTGAGTATGGTGGATCGTGGTAGCATCACTCATCACCACGAATGTCCAGATCGCCACCGAGGAAGCATCCGTCATGTTCAGAGTTGAATTGTTGTGATGTGTCTTTGCAATCAACTTTTTTTGCGCAAATGATGGCATGGACCCCGAGGGTGGGGCAAACTACCTAAAGGGTGTGAATGACTGCCACTTGTACCAAAATCTTGCTTCTGAAATGCCCGGAAAGTTGGAAACGTTTGAAGGCAGTGAACTGAGTGAAGCAGGCACATACTTCGGTGAGGACTTCTTCAAACGCTTAATCCCAAACTTTCTCATGTGAAAGGAACAGGTAACACAATGTTGCAAAAGGCTGAAGCTTATGCTTCACATTGTGTGATGTGATGGGAGTTTTTTTGAAACTTCTGAACTCTTCTTTGCATCAACTTTGCCTTGCAGATTGCTGGATGTCTCATGGTAAGTGTCTGGTTTGCCTGAATATGACTCGCAAAGAGTTTGAGAGCCGGCAGCAGTGGACGGATGCTGAATTGACTGCAAGTGCATGCTGGGAGAGGAGAGTGGAGGAGTCGCAGAAATGGCGAGAAGAACGGCAGCAACCAATGCCATGGGGATCCTCGGGTTTGAAGTATCGCAAGTCGTTGACAAAGCTGAAGGTTCAAGAAGACCAACCACACAAGGAGGTGACGAGCGGGGGAAGGGTATTACAAGAGCCAGGTGGAATACTGATCGATAAGAGGCCATTGATCAGTAATGATGCTCAGAAGGTAGTGTGGGACAGAGTCCTTACCGACAGTGATTTCTGGAGACAGAGATATGAGGGGAAAGGCCTGGAAGTGTTGTCATTTTCCGAGTTATTGGCGTATTTCCACCACTACTCACTTGTAGTTCCAAGGACGAGAAAACAAATGGAGGCAACGATCAAAGCTCATCAGCGGTTCTTAGCCAATCAGCTGGATGAGATACAAGACAAGGTATTAACAGTCCTGGATTTTCATCCTTCTATTTAGTCAGGTAAATGTATTTCGGAAATTCGTAGTAATCATTTGCTTCTGATGAAGCAGGGATTCCCACAGGCGGGATGGGATTGACAAAGTATAGTGTATTATAAAACGATGACCAGTAATATGCAAGTTGTCCTCCATCCGAGTACATTGATGCCCTCCTGGTCTACATTCCTGCTCACATGTTCGACTGTTCGAGTTTTTCATGCATATGGGCACAAACAGAGTGATGAGATCATTTTCCTGTGCATCGGAAAGGCTGCAAAGATTGCCTACACTCTGCGACAAGCCATAACTGAAAGTGTTGCGACTACCCCAGTGCCTTTGTTATGCGTGTTGTGCTGGGACTATACCAATGGCAACAAAAGGTGAACCAACCCCCCAAATTTCCGGTGTCTTCTTAACCCAGCTTTTAAAGAAATCCATAAAGCCTGTTCACCACCCATCGACAAACGAAACACCAAAAAAGTTGAAAAAACATAAGAAAAAGAAAAGGAAGAAAAATACCCAAAGTGCACCATGAAACCCCTTTTCATGTTAGTAACACTACTCAGCAAGACAGGCGATATGAGTCATATGACAAATATATGCAATTAAAGACCCATTTCCCTCCTGACAGTAGCATATAATACACTAGCAAAGCTCTAGCCAATAGAATCTTATACAAGGAAAATGAGCAATAGCGAATGACAGAATTCCAGGTTGCAAAATCACACTGAAAGCCAGATTGTCCAGGCGGCGGAGCGCTCCGCCGCCCGGCGTTTGGACACGACGGCAGGCCTCGCGGAGAGAGCAGGAATGAGGAGCGACGGAGCGCTGCGACGGTAAGATCGGCGCGAGGAGGAGGCGGGCGGACGAGACGGCGGGTCTTGCGGAAGAGCAGGAACGAGGAGCGGCGGGAGCGCTGCAACGGCGAGATTCACGTGAGGAGGTGATGGGAGAGAGTGTGTCTGGGCGTCGTTAGGCAGAGCATCTCACACCAAGGTCTTAGTGGAGAGGAGGAATACGGTGGGTGGGAGAATAGGGGAGGGAAGCATTTCACGGGTTGGAGGGAGAGGGCTACTAGGAAGAAGGGGGAGGATGGCATTCGTAACGTGGACTCCCCCTCATCTCTTCGGGCTACCTGCGAGGGGCGGCTGGCGGGCTCAGTGGCTTATTCTCGCGATGTGGTTTGGTATGCTGCGACGGCAATCCTAGCTGCGGTCCTATTATCATCATCGTTCGGTCTTATTGGTTGGTTGAATGGTTGTCAATCACAGGCAGCCGAGTTGCTTGAGAAGCCGATGAAGCGAGGAGGTGAGGTTTGGAGAGAGGGGGGGAGTATTTAGGGTTGTCAAGGGTAAGTTGTTTTTCCTCTTCAGTTTGGCCTTGATTCTTAGACAGTGTTTGTCTGTCTCGATATTTGTCTGATTTTGCAACTAGTATTGCTGAACTCGTAGTTCTTATTTCTTCTTCTGGTTATGAAATTCTTGATTTTGTATTGCTTGCATGATCATTCTAAGTCGATTCATCCGATGATGATGATTCAATATTAGTGCAATTGGTTTATCTTTTTCACGTTGTAATCTTTGTTATTCGTATGATAATTTTTTTTGTTTAACATCTTCTCCACGGTTTGAGCGTTGTTCTGATTCGCATCTTCCTGATCTATGGTCTGAGCGTTTTCCTGAACTCTATGTTCAGGAAATCAGTGTCGAAAGTCCGGATGGACATCAAAATTGTTTCTCTATTGTGTTTTCTCCTATTTTTTTTCAAGACATCTAATTTTTAGTTGATCTAGCGATTTTCTTCTTCCCAATTTTATTTGTAGCTCGATGGATTCCCTATATTTGATCTCAGCGGTTTTCTTCTTCCAATCTTATTGTAGCTCGAGGGATTTCTTGAATTACGGTTCTGGAAATCAGAGTCGAAAGCCTGTGAGGACATCCCTCTTTAGTTCTAATGGATGTCAAAAATTCATGACTTAAATTACCTTGACTACTAAGCGATCTCATCTCTAAATTTCACGTCTCCAAAAGATGATACGGACCTGATTTTCGATGAAAAGATCTACGGCTGTGGTGTGCTTTTTCTGATTGCCTAGGGGGAAAACTAGTGGGTTGATGGAAAGAATGAAAGGGGACTTTCAACAGACGGGAGATGTCGGTTAAGGTGAGTAGGTCAGGAGGACGATGCTGGGACGACATAGACCGGTGCTGGAGTTGTGCTCTGTGACCCAGGGGGAGCTTGAGGTCCATGGAGTTATGTCGAGGGTGGAAGGCATAACCAGATCGTCCAACGTAGTGGGCACCGGGGCGTGGACCCTGGAACTTGTTTAGGGGTTTGCATCTAAAGGAATTGTCGAGGGAGGAAGGCACTTCCTGTCCGTCAGAACTAGGTTGGTCGGTACTGGGGTGGGTTGTGGTGCCCTGTTACCCTAGCAGAGGGGGGTATGAGACCAGGTGAGTTCTGGTACGAGGACTGAAAGCCGGGACTGACTGGTCTGCTTGTTGAGAGGAGGATTTTAGGATAGTTGTATTAGTTGGTATTAATTTTTAGTTTTGACCCCCCCTTTTTTTTCTGGATTGTACCCTGTTTGGCCGTTAAGGGGGACTTGAGAACGTTTAGGATTCTGGGGCTTCTACCAACCTTTCCCAGGCTGCCTTGAAGTTGCTATACTCAGCGATCTGCAGCTGTTCGATGCCAGAACGACGCTGGCCGGTGCTGGGGCGTTGCCCTGTAACCTGTTGATGCAGGAGCGGGAGGCCTGGTAGAGAAATCTGCGGATGCTTTGGGGTGGGCATCTCACGGGACAACCAAGGTTAGCTGCTGGGATGACACTGGCCAGAGCTGGGCCGAGTTGTGTTGCCCTGTAACCCAGCAGGAAGTGGGGGTGTGAGGCCTGGAAGAGCTCGGCAGGGAGTAAGACAACTTTGAGGAACTCTGGAAAGGTTTGGTAAGGAGGTCGAGATTTTTGGATTTTCTCTTAGGACCCTGGCGGTCTATTCTAAAAAAGAAACGAGGTGAGTGGGAGAAGGAGACGGTGGGATATCATGCGTCCTACTAGTGAGGGGGCTAGCTGGTAGGATTGGAATAGGGTATAGCAGCAGTAGAGATGGTGGCTCTGCTGCAGTAAGTCTTGCCGGAGTGAGGAACAGAGGATTGATGGGTTGGGGTGTATGAGTTGGATTTTGAATCCTGTTGATTCTTGAAGCCTGTTGTAGTCATTTCCTAAGTAGCTCTAACTCTTCGAGCCAAAACAGAACAAGGGGGAGTGGGGAAGGAGATGGTGGGATATCACGCGTCCTACTAGTGAGGGGGCTGGTAGGATGGGAATAGGGCATAGCAGCAGCGGAGATGGTGGCTCTGCTGCAGTAAGTCTTGCCGGAGTAAGGTAAAGTGGATGGAGGGTGGGGGGTTCTGAGCAGTTTTCTGAATTCTGTTTATATTCTGAAGTTTGTCATAGTCATTTTCTAAGTAGCTTCGTTTTTTCTGAGCCATAGCCGGGTAATGGCCCCGGTATCTCAATCTTCAAAATCATATGTAAATTTCCATATGGGACGCTGCGCCCGGTTCCCAGCACGTGCTGCTCCCCACGAATAGATTGGAGCCTTGTTCCCATTAAAAAAAAAAAAAAAAAAAAAGTCGAAAGCTGTCCAGAAAGCAGTAATGTACTGATATGTCACCCGAGGAGCACCAAAGCAACGATCTCAATTGTCAATGAGAGCATACTCCCGCCACCACCCCAAATGCAAACGAACCTCTTCCTCCTATTGGCGCTCAGCGCCCAGACTACAATCACACAGCTACTCTATCCTCTACTACAAAGTGACGAAGCAACCGGTTGACGTCAGCAGCCCCAGTCGAAGTACATGCAGATGTCGACCATGTAGACATCGCAAAGACCAGGTACGTGCTCTCACATCACCGTCCTCATCCCTCTCTTCGCTCACCCTTGTCTTCTTCACCCACGTCTGCAACACCCACGAAGACCACCGCCGAACCCCGCTGACCATCTACCGAGCCAAGCCTGGCTATGGAGGGCTTGGCTATGGCGCTGCCTTGAAGCAGCGCCTTTCCCCCTTTGACGCCCATCCACGCCCGGCACCAGCTCTAGCGCAGCAGCACTCGAGTGCACGCTCTAGCAGCGCTGCCACACTCTCATGCAAGTGCCCCAGTCCCCAGTGCGTATCCCGGCCCTTTCCTAAATGGAAAAGTAGCAGGCTCGTTGCCTGCTGCTTGTGAAACGGTTTTCACCTTTTAGCAGTAGCGGATGCAGTACCCAGGGTTCGATCCCTAGACCTCACCCTACCCCATGTACAGTATCTGTGTAGACCCCGAGAATTGAACCTGTAACCTGTGGATTCGTAGGCAGTTGGTAGACCTGTAGTAGGTCCATAGACAGCAGGGGTTCGATCTGTAGGTCTAYAGCGTAGGAGTCTTAGTGAGTTCTGGAAGCTTAGCTGTAGACCTTCTAGAAGATAGGCAAGTGGGCAAGTGGTCAAGTGGCAAGGCAAGTGGTGGACTAAGCCGCAGTGCAACAGCAGTACAACGTCAGTAGGATGGCGGTGAGTCCACAGTCAGTCAGCGGAAGGTCCAGTCAGTCCCAGTCCGGTCCAGCAAGTACCACAGGGGGACTGTGAGCACCAAGGACCGATGGCAAAGGGCAGACCAACGAGTTTCTGAAGTATAAATCAAGAGGCAGCGCCCAGCCATTCATTCATTCCT